GGTGGTGATGGTGGTGAGGGGATGCAACGTGGCGGTAAATTATGAGGGGCAGCCACTCGAGGTACGATTTACGATGACCGGAGTTGTTTGGCGAATGTGTAATGCGAACGGATGATTCAATGGCCGACCTTTTCTGCATTAACGAGCAAGACTGATGTCAATGACACGATATTATCTTTCTTGATACTCGACAATAATTTTTTCTTTTTCTTTTTCTTATTTTTTATTTTTCTATTTATTTTTATTCACGACAACAAACGGAAAAAAATCAGGTAGAATTACTATGACTTGATCACAACACGATTCAAGTACGATCGATATTTTTGGTTTAGCATAAAAAAAGAAAAAAGAAAATAAAAGAAGCATCGGTAGGATTCCATTATTCGATTCTACGGTTGGTCTTGATGATTGGGATCAAAATAATTGAAGGTCGAGCTAAACAAGTGGTTTCCTCTGTCCGTTGGTGATTATAAAAAAAAAATCGATAAATTACTTGAGAATCATAAAATAATAAAATAGACCACCTCCTCTCCTCCTCAGGAATATCGGTTAGGTTCGCGTTTAAGTTCACTTGAAAGAAAACTTCATTCTTCGAGAGCAACGTAAACAATGCAGTGATCCGATAACCCATTCCTGATTATCGGTGTGCATTCTTTTAAATTGCTAAGACATTGCTGTTATCTGGTAGGAAACTTGGAAATAAGGGTAGAGAGGGAAAAAAAGTATTGTTGATCCCGATTTATTTCTGTCTTTTTCACCAAACCACCTCTCTATGGATTTTGTACTGAATGATATCGGAAAATGAATGAGTGAGAGAGAAAGATAAAAAAGAGAAAGAGAGAAGATTGTTTGTGCCTGTGTTTCTGTTATTGTTGTTGTTTTTGTTGTTATTGTTGTTATATTTCTCTGACTGAAGTTGCCAACCAGTTCTATTGTACCACCATATTAACCCTTATCGGTTTTAAGATTTCTCTATTGATAATTTTTATTAGGTTGTAAGTGGTTTCAGTAAATGTGCAACAACAAAAATTTTTAGTATTATAAGAATAACTTATTATTTATTGAAAATTATATTTTTTTGTTGAAGGAGTATTACAAATCTATGAGATTATTAATTATTTTATTATTTAATAACATATATTTATTTGTAATCCAGTGAACACACCAATGTAACCGAGACGTCATATTTACGGAACCAAAATTTTAGATTACGTAAACCTTAAAATAACCATACGGATCACAGGTGACTCACAATTTCACACTCATTTACGTAACAATGTGACGTTACATAATGAACATAAATATGATGTTAATTTCACATGCATATTACATCGGTGATATAGTAGTGATATAATTCGAATATCATAATTACATCACATATAAAAAAAATCGAAAATCGTTGTTGAGGTTATGTAATTGTTTTCTTTTTTTTAGTTTTTTTTTTATATTATATTTTTTTTCCCGGGATTTGAACTCGGGAACATACGATTACCGGATGGACACTACTGGATGGTGATTTGCCTTACTGAGTCATGCGAACTTGTATTAATTTACAGTATATTACTAATACATATATGTAAGGGTGAGGGAAAGACGAAGAGTGCGAGTGTATGGTGTGCGTGAAAACAATTGATGAATGTGAAAGATGTGTAAGAGTATACAGCGATATGGGTATAACTGTGAGTGCACGCAGCGATATGGATATGAGTGTGAGTGCACGCAGCGATATGGGTATAAGTGTAAGTGCATGCAGCGGTATGAATATGAGTGTGTCTAGCAAGAAAGAAAAGCGAGCGTGCACCCCGAAGTCTCTCGAATATTCCCGAGCCGGAAATCGGGAAGAGGTCCTTTGTTTAATCGGTCGGGAATAGTCTAGAGATTTCGAGAATGATTGACTGAAGTGATTGAGACCATTGGTGGGGTGAATGAGTATATAAGCGCGGCGAAGAAGGCGATCTGGGCCTTCTTGATTCGGTGCAACTATTTGTGAGTGAAAGAGTGTAATACGAGTGTACTTAAGATTCCTAACTATTGTTACTTACTTTTTTTTTCTTTTCTATCTCTTTATTATTATATTAAACCTTAATAATTAAATATTTGTTCTATTATAATAAATATTTCTATTTAATCTAATAATAACGATGATGTTCCTTCATTAAAAATGCAAGCAGCAGTCAATGCAGCAATATCAACGATCTTAGAACCAGCTGGAAGTATTTTTGGAGTAATTTTCCAGATCAACTGGTTGYAACTTTCGTTGCTATTTTGTGTAAAACCACCAACACATCGCTCCAAAARCTCATCCTTACTCAGATTTTCGTAAATAGGTTTTATTGCAGTCAAAACATCATCTGGTAATGGTGTATAATCGTGTTTGAACGATGAAAGAGTGTTTGTTCCTGATGCTCGCTGCCAGGCACACCAGGAGTCTGAACCTTTCGGACAATTTTCGTACTGAGGTTTTTTATCTGTCAAGCTGTAGTGATAAAACGTCTTTTCTACGAGCACCGTCCACTAATTGAGATCTTGAAACTTTAGGCATTTTTTAATATAATTTACTTTGGACACTTATAACCTCAAAATAAACCTCGTGGTTCAACAAGTAATCACCAAATGAAGTATTTCAACTAGTTACCCTTAGAAGAT